AAATATAAATATAAATATAAATATAAATATAAATATGGATGAGCATATATATAAATTTTTATTTATTAATTTATTAATACATGTAAATATTTGTACTTATCTATACTCACCTTTCTTAGATTAAGGCAATAAGATTCAGAAGTATGAAAAAAAACTTCTATTAAAGTGAAATGTTCTAGGAAAAAAGGAAATATGAGGAATGTAAGATAGATCTGACTTTAAGGAATGAACTGCAACGCACACCAGGAAAGGTCTCCTTTCAATAAGGTTGGAGTAATTTTGAAAAAATAATGGAAAAGTCAGTACCTTCGTCATTTTTTGCTGTTGCTGTCGGTTTTTCTACAAGTTTTGACGGTTCTGCTTTAGTATTATTTGATAGTGCTGAATCACTTTTAGATGGAATATTAGAGCCAGCCGGTTCGGCTGAAAGATCGGGATGATCCTTAGTAGCAAAGCGCTCAACTGCAGCATTTGCCGCAGGAGCAGATTGTGAAACAGTGCTTATTTCAGCAGCGGTGTTTGGCTCGGCTTCAGCTATTTTTTCTGCGGCTTGTTTGGATTCTGTAGCAGAAAGTGATGCAGTAACGGGTACACTTGGGGCTTCTGTATGTTCCAAATGTTCTAAGTCAGGGGCACATTCAGTATTTTGACCCAGATGCAAATTTTCAACAACTGCAGCAGCTGATTCAGTGGTATTTGATGATTCTGCTGTTGTATTCAGAGATTGGGCAGTAAGAGCAGACGCAGGATCAAGGGTTGATGTTGGTACTTGAGCTGATGCGTTATCAGACATGACTGAGTTTTGTATGATTTTGATCTGATGTGTGGGAGCAGAAGTGTTTGTGCTAGGAAACTGCAGTAAGGGAGGCCTTATATCTGAAGAGTTTTCGAGGGCGGGCGGTTTTTCTTGTTTCTTCAAATTCATTTCGTTCTCTGTTTTACACTTTCAAACTCTTGTAAACCTTTAACAATTCGCTTTACTTCTGTTGCATTCTTGTTTGTTTTATGAAATGAATATCAAAAGAAACATTTGTTGAGTTGCTCATAAAAGAAATATTCAAAATATTTCTAAATCCATTAAGCATTTTCTTCTGTCTGTATAATAAATCGAAAATTTTGGTTAAGGAAAAGCTAAACCTTCGCATACAATGAGACAACTGCTTGGAAAACGTCTGTTATCATTTTAAATGGAAACTTTCTCTGCAAACAATTCAGAAGTTGTTTTTAAGAAGCAGTAATAAAGAAATCTGGTACGCTTTTATCTTTTATTCGTCGTTGCTGTTACTATTCCTTTAGTTTTGAATCTTTTCTATAGAGTTATTTCGTCACTTTGTTAAAAATGTCAACTGTCATTTGCTTTTTCAGCACACCCCTTCTTTTCGTTTTGAAAACAAACTTTTAGTTTGTTTTCTTATATTCTTTTCTTTGTTATTGTTTTTTTTTTTGTTTTAGTGCTTTTCAATTCGAGCTGAATTTGTTCCTCTATGTTTTTTCTTAGCTTCTCATTTCATCGTAGCCTAACAGACGCGAAAATCTGTGCTTCTGACACGACTTCATTGTATTTTTAATGAGGCAATTTAAAATGACTAAGAGTGCTTTTCTAATACGCCTCATTTGTCTCACAGTGTTCACTGCAGAACTGTTCCTCACTGTACGACTCTGGTATTGAGTAATTGAGAAAGTTATATATATATAATATTTATTTATTTATTTATTTATTTATTCACTTAGCTATATTTATATTTGTATTTACATTTATATTCATATTTAAAAATAAACAAATGAAAAAATAAATAAATAACTGAATATATATATATATATATATATATATGTTTATGAATATTTGAATAAAATTATATAAAATGTAAGTAAAAATATTAATGTAAGTAAAGGTATAACTTCCTTAGCAAATTAGTTGAGTGATATTGCTGAGTGTGGGATTCAGCAAAAAATTTTTTCAAAAATCTGAAATTTTTTCGGCTGGAGTCATTGTGTCAAATGACTTATTATTGGTGTCCTTTGTTGTTCTGATGTGTTTAACGCGCTGCTGTTGACGGTATACTTACGTTTTCAAGTATAAGAGGTGTTAAGCGTTAAGATAAATCGCGATTGCAAAAGTAAAAAAAGTTTTTTGGTCTGTTGTACTGCAAGATTATTTGAATAATTGAAAAATGAGTGGTTTATCAGTGATAAAGAATAATTTTCTTGTTTCTATTGTTAGAAATGACGATAGGTGCTGCTGTGTAGGTGCCGACTGCTACTGTTGCAGCGTTATGTGAATGTACTTGTAAACTGTTCAGTATGTATGCGTTCACTGCAATCTAGAGGAAAGTTGAGGCATAAAAAGCGTTAATAGACACTTGTATACAGATGTTTCCATTTTTTTTTTTTTTTTTTTTTTTTTTTTTT